ATTAGCAGGGACCGATCGCCGAGCAGCTGGTGTCATCGACGTATTTAGACGCCGCGTGGCCGAGCAGGTTATCGCGATTATCGGCGAACTATCTGCTCAATTGTGCCGCGCTTCTCCCTCGGCCGCGGCTCGCGATCGCGGAAGTCGGCGCTTCGACGAGCGTCACCTCTGCATCGCTAATCGACGAGACTGTCGCTAATTAACACGTCGACCGCCGCACGATTTTGCCGAGACAAATATAGGAAATGAAAATAATGCAGCATCAACTTCCGCCATTGAATTACGGTGTTATTATTACAGGTTTGAATCGTTGAATGTCAGTGCATTAAGTTGTATCACTTGTAATATAGAAAAGCGTTCTAATAATCATCGTTTAATCGAATGAATTGTAGTGAAATTCTTTTGTTTTTCCAGTGAATCGTTAATACTAAAAATGACCGGTTCGTTTGCTTCAAAGTTTATTGATGTCTTAGAAGCATCGAATATTCGAAATGATCTTGAATCTGTAATGAATGTCCGAGGAAACGGGAAATATAGGGATATCTCGTATCAACTGCTCGATAGTTCTAGTGCTAACAATAAAGTAATTAAAGGATTTGAAGGAATCATGATTTCACTCGCGCAAGGAAATTAGCGTTAAGCTCGAATTCAAAGAACGATCGGCGTTCGAAGAATCGAATGAAATCACCGCCAATTTTCCAACCCCGTATCCGGTAATCGGACTCGAGATCGTGCTGTAACTGATACATCTAGCTGCTAATATTCTGGGAATCGCAATCGATGCCGAAACTTTCTTGGCAGTGACACGTTTCCAAAGGTTTCTGGGTAAACAACGGTATCGACGTGTTTCTCGCGAAGCGGCGACAAAGTGGCGAACGCTAGAATCGCTGACGCGTATATTCTTATACAAAATCACGAGAATGCGTCTATGACAATTTCGATTGATGCGTGGTCCAGAATGCGCGTCGGTGAGCCAGTTTACCAAAATATTTCGCGGAGAAGCCAGTGCACCCGAAAATTGCAAGAGACGCAAGGCGGATCGTTTTGATCCGTTCGGTGGTTCTAGGCTTAACACTAGCAATTCCTATAAAAACTGTAACAATAGATTATTCTCAGTTTCTTCAGACATTCGTTATAGTACTCAAATGAAACTACTTTCAAAATCTTTTTGAATATTCAACGCTTCGAAGATATCGATAATTGCTACACAAAAAGATCGAAACCAGTCATTTTGACTGGTACGGTGGTTCTAGGGTTAAGAAACGCTCGCCCCGCTTCGGCCGGCGATTCGGAGCTCATGTATATTCGACTAGGGACCCTGTCCGCCGATCGTATCTGAAAACTGTTCCGCCGTGCGGAACGAGCAACACCGGAGTCGGGGATCACGCGAACCGCGGCGTTCCAGGAACACGGAACGCCGGACGATTGCTCGGCGATACGCAAATGAGCCGCAATTATGAAATATTCGGCCGCCAGACTCGCCCGAAAGTCGCTCGACTTTAGCGGAAGTTCTACCTAGAACCTGTATTCAGTGCACGAATCGACTTTGTAGAATTTCTGTATAGAAACTCGAAGGCATCTATTCACTCTTTGCACTCGAAAGCTTTTCACTTGATTCAATAGTTTGCAATTAGATGTAGTGAAGATTCTCTAAAATGAATTTATCAAGAAAACACGCACGAATTAGGGAACATTAATTTCAAAAATGTATCATCAGGAACCGTGTTTCATCCGCGTCAATAAAAGTCGACTCAAAAGTAGCAACTACTTTCTAAAATTCAGTATGAGACAAATTGGCATTGACCAGCGTTAAACGATATTACGGTAGCCGACGTAGCTGAAAGGACGAAGGAAAGCGCAACGAAGGGTGCATTCGAGGAAAATGGCGATCGATGGCACGACGAAGCGTACACGCGAGCAGATAAGAGTACCGGACGTTTCTAGGACGTTGGAATTTTACAGGCAACATGGAATCAGTGACGAATCGCCGTGGACGACGAAATAACAACGAAATTCTGAGTCGAACGAATACATTTGCATGCAAATGTATATCGGCCGAAGAAAACGGACCGAATGATTCATTCGATTTCGACGTCTACTGTCGATTTCGATCGACTATTTCGAACCAGAGTTATTATAGAAATCAGCCACCTGTTACGATTACTCGGCGGCGATCCGTTGCCCAAACGTTCGCATTCGCGGCGACCTCATCCTCGCTGCCAACTCGCCGTTTCGTCACCGAGTTGGCCGCCAGGCCAGAGAATCTTCTGCGCGTAGACGACACCCGATACCCGTGTAAATTTTCGAAATAATACCCGTCGATCGTTGTTTATCGGCGCTCGGATCATTGCCCGTTGATGACTGACGCGCGGCTATCAATGAGAATCGCGTCCTTTACAAGACTGAATAAACTAGACTCCTAAGAGAACTCGAAAGATTCGTAGCAGCTTTCGATGTAGCGATCTTGGAAAGTTATCCATATTTTGTATAATTGCTATGTTCACGGTCGTCTCGAAGACATATATATATGTTCACGTATACTATAGAATTAGCGTAGTGGTGGCAGGTTTTCGAGACTCAGAAAATATAAATTGGCAACATTGTCAGAGGAAGACTTTAGCATTTCTATGTTCGCCGATTGATTTCTTTATATCCGAAGCAACCATTCAATATTTGATCAGGTTCTCGTTAATTATTGATTAGAAGAATCTTTGCTTATTCTGTCTACTAATCCAAAGATTAAGGATCAGTAACAGAAAAGTAATTCAATTCACAACAAATAACACTTAGATTTCTCAAACGCAGTTTCAAATTTCCCTCTGACCCGGTGCTGTTAGATCAAGGGGTCAACGAAGGTCGAAGACTGAAAATTCCGTATCATTTGAAAAATAGTTTTATCCTGATTCGTTATCATTTTTCTATACAATTTGTACATAAAGTAGTGGACAATTTCTCTACGTTTTTTCTAAACTGCTGATAGAAACATTTTGCACGAGCTTAGCAGTAAAAGTAAATAATACGGCAAAGGGTCAAAGGTCGGTCGAGTGCCGGAAGAGGAAGCCCAAGTAAACGGAAGCGCTGCGACGAATTTTTCGGTTATCGATTCGGTTCGGGGTCGCCATGGGGGATGGCCGTTGTATACGTGGCGCCCTGCCGTCGCCATTTTCCTCCTTTCACCGTGTCATCCTTCTCTGTCTCTTTGCTTTCCGTCCACGTCCATCTCGCACGCCTTATCGTTCACCCGAACGACGCGATGGCTGCTCCGTTGAACGAGCCTCGTAAAACGCTCTCGGGTTGCGGGCATTATCGCCGCTTCCCCTAACCTAGTTTCCTAGGATGTTTGCGTCGTTTTACGAGCTGCTCATCCCTCTCCGCGCCTCTCTCGCGTCGATTCACCCCGTTTTCCGACAGCGTCGACAGACAGGCTGTCCGAGTTACATCGCGGCCAATTCTGTGTACCTTTAACCCTTTGCGCTCGGAAGTTTTTCCACTGAAAATATTTGAATGTTTTCTGATGAGATAAAATCGGTATTTCGTGAAACTAAGTCGACGAGAAATCACGCGTACATTGAGGAACAAAGCTATTTTATTCCAATATTCCTCAAACTGATGCATTATAGGAAATACAATATTAAATATCAAATTTTATAGTTTTACTGCATGAAATCATGTGGTGGGCTTTGGAACTTTTGGGCGCCTTTTGCATAAAGAAGTTCCATAAAGAACGATACTAGCAAAAAGGAAACTATGCGCCAAGCTCTTATTTGAATAATTGAATTATTCATTCGTTCTCGAATTTAGATATCGAAGCTCGGAATCTCAATTATGAGGAACGTAAGGGTTCCTTCGTGATCGAATGCGATATACACTTCTAGCGAAAAAATCAAATATTAAATCATTCGATTGAATTGCATTATTATAGTTGCATGTTCATCTGAACGTCACCGCAGTAGGTGGCATTATTTATAACTAAAGTAAGTCGATTTGATTGGGGTCACCGGTAACTCCCATGACACTCAACGTGTTAAAAAGAATTTCTTTCAAAACATTTGCCACTGAATTTTCTCCTATCTTAGAAGCGTGCTAAAGTTAAGGCTTCTGGCTCTACCGCGAACGGCACCCTCTTCCTTTTACAGTAGGGGGTGACTCATCGCCTACAGCCATTTGTCCAGAAAGTTGGGGTGGAGTTTCTATAAGAATATCGGTTGATCTCCCCACGGTCTACTTTCCACGTGCGACGACTCGGTTCTCGTGTCGCAGATTCGTGCCGTGATTGAATCGAGTTCGAACCTGCTGAACATTCAGGCTAACCTCGGAGTTGTGCTGCTTCGATGCTCGCAGGAATAGACGTTTGTTTTCCTAGCAAGAAATATTCTTGTTTACCGAGGTCGATGAGTATTCCGTCGGCGAGCCAGCGAAAATACAAATTCCCATTTGTCCGAGTAAAGTGCACCGTTAGGATCGACCTCGATACGTTATCGCGCCCCTTGACCAGGGCCGCGCCGGCCACGATCGACTCCCGGCGGTTGCGTGATCGCGGAAACGAGCCTGTCCCAGCTGATTTATTAATACGGGCACTTAATCGAACCCGCCGACCCAATTTCGCGGCCTCGTCCCGCGCCTTCTGCGCGGAAATCGCTGGATTTCCTTGGGAAACTTGCTCGTCGATAAGTCCGACGTTAAACCGGCCGTCTTCCGTGTTTCCGGGCACGGTTCCAAGGCTCGATCCGATCGATCGCGTCGATGAACGAGGGCTGGTTTGCACAACCGAATCCTTAACCACCGTTTCTTTGGTTTCCTTTGTATCTGCCCTCGCTGGGATAACTTCGGTCAGTAACTTAGCCAAACGGGGATTACCGATTCTTCCGCGTTCACTTCAACCCTTTGCGGACAAAGATTCTTTGAAGTATACAAAACCTGACTCTGCCGAGTTACACATTGGAAGCTTGGATAATAGAGGATAGGGGAACTGTGTACTGATTTCTTTGAGTAGTTAACCTATTATTATTCCAAACATGAAAACATTCATCTGCAAGGGGTTTAACTTACCAATTTTGATAGTAGTCCTACTGAAAATTAACAATGTTATAACACTTAGACCTTTAATTCCCTTCTCAGTGCAAACTGTATATTTGGAAGATCTAATTAATCTTAAGGTAGTTTTCTTAAAATTCACTGAAATATTTAATATTAGAACTGCTGCAATATTGGAGCCTATGGAGTTCAAAGGGTTAACCCTTTGCATTCGAGAGGTGATAATGAAAATTGAGAAGAATGATGATGAAATTTGATACTTAATATTACTTCGTACAATGCATCAGTTTGAGAAATATTCAAACAAACTAGCTTTGTCTCTCGATGTGATTTCTCGTCGAGCTTCACAAAATATCCTCTCTCATCAGACGTTAAAATATTTCTAACGAAAAACTTCCGGCAAATGTTTAATTGTTGTAATACTCTCGATTGTAGTCTCAGTCGTGTTTGTACCGCGAGAAGCTAATATTCTCTGTCGCTCTGTGCAGGTTCACGCCAAACACGAGGAGAAGACGGAGAGCAAATCGGTGTACAGGGAGTACAACCGCGAGTTCCTGCTGCCGAAGGGAGTCAACCCGGAGAGGATCAAGTCTTCGCTGAGCAAGGACGGCGTCCTGACCGTCGAGGCTCCGCTCCCGGCGATCGGCTCCGGCGAGAAGCTGATCCCCATCGCGCAGCAGTAAAACCGATCGCCGAAACGGACGAACGCGCGAGAACGACAGCGAAACGATACACCCCCGAAAGCTACCCCGACAATTCCATCATCCGTGCGTCCGTGCCAGATCGCTGACAAATTCCTGTCCCCCGTTCTTCGTGAATTCCCGTAAGTCCATTTTTCTTCTCTCTTTCTTTCTATCCGCAGCTTCCCATCGTCCCGTTTCCCGCGAGCATCCTCCCCGCCGCTCGTTTCCGGTCCACCTTCACGCCCTTCGTCTCCGTCGTTCCCTTCCGGTGATCACAAACACGGATCGTCCCACCTTCTCGGTCCCTCGTCGGAAAACAAGCGATTTCACGGACGACGCTCGAGAGACGAAGCCAACGAACGATTTTTCGGGAAAGAGGTTCGCCGAGGATCGATGCTCGAGTTCCAGCGATAACACCTGAAGAACCTGCGAACGATTGCGCCCCGCGGATCGAACGTCGATTCGTTTTTTACTCTTGTTTTTCGAGGACCACCGATCGTTGACCGGCTTCCTTTTCGACGACGATCCCGATCCCGGCCCGGTACGGGTCGGCCGAGCGATATAATCAAATTTTAGACGAGATAGGCGTTCGTTAAACGAACCGGATAATTTTTCTATGGAACTCGAACGTGCGAACGTTCGACGCGCTTTTCGTCGGGATCGAATCTCCGACAGGGAATCGAATGTTTCAACCATCCGCGGGGATCGCGATCGTTCGCGGCTCAGAACACGACGAAAGAATGGAGAGAAAGAAAGATAGAAACGAAACGAAACGAGTATAATTGTAAACGTTAAGGTGTACACGGCGCTTTGGACGTCGTCTAATCGTAGGAGAATGTTTGATAAATTATTCTTCCTTTTTGGTACGAGCAGCTTTTTTGACGCTTTGATATACTTCCTTTTTAGAAGTAACACGAACTTTTTCAGGAACACGCATTGCCTTTCAAAATGTATCTTAGATGTTGTTTCGTGGGAGACACGAAGAAAAAAAGCAAAATTACAGAGAGAGAGAGAGAAAGGGAGGGAGAGAGAGAGGGAGAGAGTGAGACGCGTTCGCGTGAACCCGCCGGGTTCAACGGAAACGAGAGAAGTTCTATCGGGCAATTCGAACGCGAACGGAAAGCGATCTTCTGTAAACGATAACTTATGTATGTGTTAGTTTTAGGTACTACGTTAAAAGACTATAACACGAGAATGCTTAGAGTATGTAAGCATCGTAACGATGATGATGAAGATTATGATGATGATGATGATGATGATATGATGATGAATATTATTATTATTTATGAATATTTTACTATTGTCGAGATACGTATAATGTTTAAAAGGTAATGCGAACAATATGGAAGTTTAAATAAAAATAAACCTTCAAGGTGCGTAGGTGTTCTTCCGCTCCGCCCAGTGTCCCTTCAGAGCTTCCATTAGCATTCTTCATTGAGTCCCTCTCGGTCTACCCATTGTCGAAGCATAATTAATCGCGTCGATTAATAAATTGTCCCTGTAGTACTTTAATCGGTAAGTTAGCGTCGCATTCACTCGGCCAATGATTCACAATGAAAGGGGATCCGCCTACGAGCAGCCGGAAGGTACAGTTCAGACTTGACGTCTAGCAGTACAGAGGCAAGATGTGTCTAGTCTATAATCCCATAGTTTCGATTAGTCAGTAACCTATCAACGAATAGTAAAGTAGACTATAGAAAATATCGTTGAGACTTGACGTCTAGCAGTACAGAGGCAAGATGTGTTTGTCTATAATCCCATAGTTTCGATTAGTTGTAACCTATCAACGAATAGTAAACAATAGAAAATATCAGGAATCAAGGAATAGCAAACAGGAAATTTAATAAGACGAAATCAGGACTGATTTACCAATGCTGCAGGAGTTAGCCTAGTTCCCAATAAATAGACCAACGCTCGTTCACGGGTTATCACAGTTTATTTATAATCGTTTATTAACAAAATATTCCATCATCTTATATACATATATCGATAATTCTTGTGAAACCATTATAAAATCGATGCACCGGACTCGGTTGCACACTTAATACAACATCGCGTCAACGCTTTGCGATCCGCGATTCGCGAGGAGGGGAACGAGATTTCCATGAAAGGTTATACCGCCAGAACTGCCGAACCGGAATGGCACCAGCAGCGAATCGCAGAGCGTTAACGGTTCACACAGCGAACAACGGTGTTGCGTCTGCGAGGAGCTTCGGAACGTTCCGTCGAGCCGTTCGCTCTGCGTCGCACCGTTGACGCGATTGAATTTTAATATGACGCGTTCGTCGATTGCACGGTAATAAATAAGCTTTCATCGAAGCGGTTAATATTCTCTGGAACAGTGCTCCTCGAAACGGCAGATTTTTTACTTCCTCCGTTCAGTTTTAAACGTGTCATTTGGGAACCACTGCGATTGACTATCGCGTATCTTCGAGCACCAAGTTTTTCGGAAATCATAAATAACCTTCAACCAATCCTCGCCGTACCGGTTCGCGATTGCTCTCGAGTATAAAAAATACGCGATGATAAGACGCAATGTACATTTTCAAATCAATTATATACACATAATGGTCACGCGAGGCTTGTTCCTCTGTGCTGACGGGGCGGCGGCACGTGTACGTTCTCAGAGCAAGGAGAAACAATAGTTTACGCAACTCACTCCGACATGCTAATCGTCCCGACGCCTGGACTCGAGTTGCAACATAAATACAATCGACGTGTCTATAGCTTAAACTACTCGTTTAATGTTTTGGTATACATTATACTGATCGGATATCATCGTGTCAAAAGGTGATAAAAAGCATCGACGCGATCGACCGTTAATAAATACGATATAAAACGACGCGAGGGCGGGGATCGAGCCGGTTCACGTCGAATCGGATACGAAATTATTTAAAAAAACAAAAACGAAAAGGAATACTCTTTTCCCGTGCGTTGGGTTCGTTTTGTGTACTGATTCCGGAGTAATATCACACGAATCCACTTGTTCGTTTCTCTGCAGGTTCCGCCGGCGAAAATATCCGTCCCCGAGTTCCCGTTAAAGTCTTGGCCTTCTCACCGCCGACCTTGTTTCAAATGAATTGTACAAAAATTTGTATCAAAGTGTTCCTCGCGCGGAAAGTCTATTGCCTAGGGAATCGAATCGCCGTCGTTCTATATGCTCGGGATCTCCGCGGAGAACAGGGGCGCGTCCGACGAGGTGAACGTCGGCGACTTGCCCTCCCTCGCGATGCGAAGCGCCTGGTGAACGGACACGGTGTCCAGCTCCTTTTGATTAGGTTTCTCGTTGTCCAGGCAAATGTCCGCCGCCCTCTTGCCGAACGGCTCCAACACTTTCACCCTGTAATCGACGATCGTCGACACCGGGTTGCCCGTCAGTCTCAGATTCTCCAGGCAGGGCAGGTGCCCGATGTTCTTCACCTCCTCGATCTTCTCGATGCGATTGCAGCTCACGTCCAGGCCCTCCAGCGAGTACAATTTCGAGAAGCTCGACAACGAAGTTAGCTTGTTCTGCGACAGGTCGATGTAGACTATGTAACCGAGTTTCGTATGCAAATCGCTCGGCAACGTTGTGAAGTTGTTCGACGCGAGATACAGTTGCGACAGTCTCGGTAACAAGGTGACGTTCGATATTTCGGACAGGAGATTATTGTTCAACGTTAGACACTCTATGTGCGGCAACAGCTTGATCGCCTCGTCGATCACCTCTATCCGATTATCGCTGAGATCCAGATGCGTCACCTTCAGCCAGACGTGCGAGTCGTTCGCGTTCTCGATGCCTTTGTGCACCTCCTCGCACATCGCGAACTCGACGATGTTTCTGAGCCTCGTGTTGTTCACCGCCAAATGCACCACCGTGTCCCGAAGGTTGCCCATGTGATAGATCTTCTCCACTGGATACTGGTCGATGTTCAGGTCCTCGATATTCCTGAAGCTCGACAGCTCAATGGGAAGGGTGTTCGTGTAGATGTTGCTGGTTCTGTAGGCCTCCGAACTGCTTTCGATTATCAGGCCAGTTAAATGGGAATTGAAGTCCAGAACATGACTGAAGTCGTATTTTATGTCGATCATCTCCATTGGTGGACAAGGTTGCTTCAATCTTTCACTGATCGCGTATAACTGAAAAGAAGTTGCTTGTGTAGGAGTTACATAATTGTTAATGGACTTCAGGAATTTCTAATCACCTGTATAGGGTTGAATTTGTAGGTTTTAGACTTCTGCAGCAGATTGTCGCCTTCAGTGAAAAATTCCAAAGCCATGCTCTGCAGTAGGAAAAATATATCGTACACATGCAGATCCAGGAACACAGCCAATTCTCTGGGCATTGCTTTTTTCAGGTAGTTGTAGACTATGCTCAGATACACCTCCAAGCTTAGCCTGCGTTTTTCCACAAAAGCTTCACACTTGTTGCCGATTAGTTTCTTTGGTGGCAGTATATCTTTCTCTACACAGTGCTCTGTCACAAGCTTGTCGTGTAGCTCCGCAAAATCATTGTACCTGTAACAGTCCATTAGAAGGGAGGTGTTAGCAGAGATACAATCGCATTAATGAACAAGTAAACCATGTAACAATAAATCCACCTCTGACCAAAAACTCAAGCAGGTACTATTCTTTAGAGGTCGAATGTGGAACGTCCGCAAGAAGTAAGTCATCATCCATTTGTTTGGGGAACAGTATATGCTCACCTGTGCTTCACAGTCCATTTAACTGAGGCAATCCCAACCTCTATGCAATAATAAGTGACACCGTCGACGGTGTCCGTGGAGGGAATTTTAATTTGAACGTTTTCCTGATTCAACAAAAGACACGCCATCCTTCAGAGGAGCGAGCTTGACGATCGTCGGTCTGGTACGTGGCAAGGAATGTCACTGTTGTTCGAACGGGCCGAGAGGTTATCCTGGATCCGAGCGAGAGCTGTCAATATCGGCTGTTTTGCATCAGAGGGAGGGACGAGTGTTATCCGTTCGGTGCATCGTACTCTCTTGTTTCTACGGTCGCGTCTTTTTCGCAGATCCTTCTCTCGCAACGTAACGCAATTTCATCCAAGCGAACATCTTTGACAGCGACTCATGATTCCGAAAACGTATACGGTGCCGCCACCTCGCGGTCGTATAGGCAACCGACGGAAACCGGAATCCGAATGTACATGTTTTAACGACTCTTGGTTCTTCGTTTTAATTTCCCGCTGGAATATAACAAAACACGTGTGCGTGCGAGGTGTTTATGAAAATCAAGAGAACACGATTTTATGATTCCCAATTATAATATCTGGAAGGGAGCAGTCGCTATTGAAGAATGCTACTTGTTGCGGTTAGTCGGATCGAGTTTCATTAAGATTTAATCGTGCTCGATAAGTCGATCAATATTCGTAACGCAAGCGCGAAATCGTTATAGGAGTTACGAAAGTTCGTTACAGTTAAAGGATTCCGTTAAATATGCCATTATCTGTTTTTACTCGGTACTTCGCTATCGTTCATTTGCCCCTGACTAATTATAACACTCCGTACACCCTTCGTATCAATGAGTAATTAGTCTTTATATAGAATTATGTCTTTACACTTATTTCTGGAAAGAAGTCAATAACGTTTTAGGTTAAGTCAACCGACTACACGTAAGGGTATTGTTTTATTTTCCGATTATTTTACGTTATCATCCTTTTTACGATGTATTGCAATCATTCTTTCAGCAGGCGATTAAATCGTATTTCCTGATAGAAGAACGTCGAAATGGAAAGCAGACTCTTATCAGGAGCAGAGAATTCAAATTTTCGCCGAACTTCCGGAACGTTCTCCAGAGGTACGTTAGCTTAAAGACTCCATTACTCTTCGCATTTTACTTTGCAGGAATTAAATTAGATTTACGGAACGAGTCAATGTGACTCATTGAATTTTATAAGCATTATTTGCTAAATCTTTGAGTCGATTTTTATTAACGCAATTATGCAAATATGTGTCATAATTGTTTATTCTTAATCTCTTGCACTAGATAGGTGACTCACCTGATTTCATGCAGTAAAACTATAAAATTTGATATTTAACCCTTTGCAGACGAAAACTCTTTAAAGTACACAAAGATTGTAACACATGAGGCTAAATTATACATTGAATGCTTAAACAATAGTAAAAAGGGAACTTGATCACTTGCTGTTCAAGTAATTAAATCATTCATTTGCAACTCAGTATTCCAAATGTGAAAATTTCATCTGGCAGAAATGTCGACATTCGTCCGCAAAGGGTTAATATTATACCTTGTATAACTCATCAATTTAAAAAATATTATAATAGTATAATGTCTCTTTCAATTAGTTTCACAAAATATCAATTCTCATTATCTCATCAGAAAATGGTTAAATATTTCTGATGAAAAACTTCCAAGTGCAAAGGGTTAAACTAATTCCTAAGATCTATATGACCGAATAACAATTGCTCTAAGAACAATAGAACAATCTGTACAGTAAGCGTCAGTAAATCTAGCGTTAAACTAGGATGACTGTACATTCGGAAGGTCGTTTTCTGAAATATTCAGCGGATAAACTTCCGGGTGTCTGACTAACGAGCGCCTCCATTACGGCCGCGTTCGTTGCGTTGTGCGAGCGAGATTAGACGCCGATCATTGCCGCCATTCATGCCGATCCGACGTCCTTCGATTATTCCCGGGAACGTGATTTGCACGGTCCTGTTCCGTGACTGGTTTGCAAATTCAAGTTTATTGGTCGCATTCGTGCGGCGCGAACGGTCGATTCGCAATTGGATTTACACAGAGATTCGTAGATTCAAAAGATCGGCCGGTCCGCCTGTGGCGGCGGGTCGCGCGCCGTCAAATGGAAGAACTCGCCCATTCACGGCGGCTCTCATTGGCGACAACCTGTTGCTGCAGTGGCGTAATCAGAATTTCGCCTCGCCGTAGAAAGAGTCGATCTCTGGCCTGTTCCGCCGGTCGTAAAACTGAACGTCGCGCATTATATCTTCCAAAAATGCAAGTCGACGATTCGACGAGGTCTCCGCAGTGGAATTGAACCGAACTAAGTTCTTAACACGCTGACATCGCACGATTTCACGTAGCCAAATGCGCAAAATGAAAACGATGTATCACATTATTTCATTGAATCGTTTTATCTTTATTGCACGTTTATCTTGCCGATTATCAATAGATAGCACTTGTAATATAAAAGTATTTGTAAATGATGATCGTTTAATTGACTGAACGATAATCGAACCAGTTAACCGTGTTCAACGAGTATGCTGATCTTAAAGCAAGGTAATACCGACTTTTCCGACATTCAATTATTTATTTTCACAAGGGAACTTGTTACTCTTTATTCTATTTTACTGTTTTATTTTAGTATATACCAGATGCACTGGATGCATACACCGGTCGCAGGTTTCCACCGTATACTCCAAGAGATTTTCAAGCCGAGCTCCACAGTTAACCGGTTAAGCGTCGAACAGTATCAAAACGAAACACAGAAAGACCATTGTGGCGGATACTTTCATTTCCCGTTAAACGCGCCTCACGGACCTTTTGTGCGCGGATAATGCTCGAGGCGAGGATCCCCGCGGTATCCGCAAAACGACCGAATAAAAGCTTTAATGGCTGCGTCAGCTGTAGCCCCGCGAAAGCGGCGCCGCCGATCGCCGGCGATCCGCGCAGATTTTTCGTATCCGCTTCGAATCGACTCGACTCGACTCGACTCTCCGGCGAGCCGAAAATATTCCCCGCGGGCGGCGTCTCTCTAGATCCTCCCGGAACGGTCCGCGCCATTGCGGATCGGCGGACGTTCCATCAAGAACAATGCCAGCTGTAGGTTACCTGTCCGCTCGGGCCCGATTCAGGCCGGGCTCAAATTCATTGAACGGAGCCGCACCTGCTTCTATTTATTTTACTCGCGCTCCTCGTTCCGCTCCGGCCATTTCGGGAATATTTCCCTCTCGAGAAAAATCGCTATCCTCCGAACCGAACCGCGCGAAGCGACGGAAACATCGAGCCTCCGATAAATTCTCCGCGAACCTCCGAACGTTTACGCCACTGCGGATCCGCGATAGCCTGCGATAACGAATAACGCCGTTTAAATCACGCGCAGGTACGAAATGCGAACGACAACTCGGATGCCATTCGAACAGTTTACTTTCCGTTTCGTCTGCATTGATTTCAGCTTTCGCAGCTTCTCTCGTTGCTTCTGATAATCCTTGTAATTATCTGAACATTCCTCGCGGACTAGGTTTCTGTCTAACACTTCTTCCGAAGCTAACCAAACGTTTACGCCACTGCGAGCCCGCGAATCCCGTAAAGATAACGAACGCTCCGCGTCGGATTGGACCCTCGAAACGGATCGTCCGCGTCGACGAGCGTTCAGCCGTGCCCTTGTTGCGCGGAGTCTTCCCGGGAAACATCGATAAGAAGGTGCATTATTATTTCCCGGAAAGCTGGCTGTCGGTGGTTACTCTTCCCGGATTGGAAGCCTTTGAGGATGCACGCGCGAGCCGCCGGGAAAGGAAACGAAGGGAAAGGAGGCGAAAGGAAAGGAGGCGAAATGAAACGAAGGGAAAGGAAACGGGTATAAATAATGTAAAGCGAATCGCAGCCGTAAAGAGAGCCCGATGGAGGGGGGAGCGGCCGGCCGGTCGGTCGGTTCGCATCGGGACATATCGGCGTGCGCGCGTTTACGCCACTGCAAATCGGTGGATGCTGCGTCAGGAGCAATGGCGGCACTGGCTTACCTGGCCGGTACCTCCTATCCTCCGTCCCCCCTCCCGTCCGTGCCGTGGTCACGTTCCTCAGGGCAACCCGACGAACCTGTTGCCCGTTCTCATCCAGTGTCGTGTCGCTTTCACGGCGGTCGTGCGCGGTTCATCGCGGCGGCTGTTCCGCTTCGTACGATCCACCGGCAGCATCTCACGGAATCCGATCCGCGGAGCGTTCCTCGGCCCCTCCTTGCGCCGCCGAACCGCGGAAAACAGTGCTTTCCCGCGGATAGCTTCGTCTCGACGAGCCGATCGCGTACGGTCGGCCCAGGTGTTGTTCCCCGGTTCGCGAACAGTCCGCCGAGGGATCGCCGCGAATCGGCGACACGGAGAGCTGAAAGCGAGCCGCGAGTCGGGTTTCTCTTCCACTCGGTTGCGAGGTGATCTGTGTTTTTTCGAAAATGACCTCGCCGACTTGGAACCAGTCCCGGAGCCGCGACCGGATCGTTTCGTCGGCAGTGCCCGACCGTGCGCGCGGATCGAAGGGGACCCCGAGGATCGTGTCGTAATCCGATTCCGTCGCGAACGGTGCCCGAGCAGCGTCCCCGCCTCGCCGATCACGCTCTAGGATGCTAGATAGAAGAAGGAACTCGGCGACAGGTTTTCCCAGTTTCGGGTGGACGTTGCTCTCGACGTGCCGCGCGACGCGTCGGTCATGATCCCCTCGCCTCTTGAGCGGGACCGGATGTTCGCTCGATTGAAACCGAACGCCGCGCGGTGAATTCCGAGGCGGCGCGTTACGTGCAACGATCGCCGGGCATTTCCGTGGGAAACTGTTCCTCTCTCGAGCGATCGATCGTCGAACGATCTACCCGCGTCGCGTTAATCGGACGCCGGCCGTGCAACGTTGTCGGATTTTTCCTCGCGTTCCATTAGGAATTCCGCTTTTCCGCTCGCAATCGGGCGCGACGACGGCCGCTCGTTCGCGAGATTTTCAAGAAGGTCCGAACCGCCGGGAAATCGGGAATCGACCGGTTCCCTGCCAGCTGTCGCGTTTTCGCGGTGACGCGATCGCCGGACGTCCTCCGCGGAGGGACTGTTCCCGTACGAGTGGAATCTTGTTGTCGAGAGGCGGGCTCCTCGTGACTCGTCCGGTTTGTGTGTGCGAGGTGCAGTGAAGTAAAATCCAGTGAGTCGTGTGTACCGTTTCTGGACGTCCATTACGACCTCGCTTCGTCCTACGTGCGGCGATCCTGGGCTACGGTAAGCTTCGTACACGCAGCTCGTCGTGTCCTGTAATCGAATAGAACCGGCCGACGCAACTCGTGTCGGTTGTATCGATAAGAATTTGCGGAGGCCTGTCCAAATTTGGGCTCGCGTTTTTCATCGAAGGGTACTAACATGAGTAAACTTATAGCATTCGCGAGCGTTCGCTTTTCGAAACCTACTTTACGATTCTACGCCGCGCATACCACTTTTGATTGTCAACAAGCGTAACAGCCTAGTATCTAGCAAAGGTCACGTAAAGTCGAGAGCAACGGAATGTTAAAAATCTCTTCGGCGCGACGCCCGCGAGAAGCGGATCGAATGGAAGACCGGCAGATACGTTTCCCTTTCACGAGGACACTCGAATTCTCTGAAATTTTTCTCCGAAACGCTGTCCCGTTCGTCTCGACCTTTCCACCCGAGGTCTCCGGACGCGTCGACCCCGAAACGGAAGATCCTAGGATGCTCGATCGGCTCGCCGGTCGATTCCCTCCTCGGCAGACGCGAATCAGCGGACAGGGTGATTAAGGAGAGAGGAACGCGTGACAAAATGTCGGGATATTCGGCAAAGCGTGCGCGACACGGCCTCGTGACTCATAACCTCGAGAGAACCGCACGGGCAGGTAGGCATTTCAGTGGTGGGCGGCCTCTCGAATTCTTGTCGTGTCGTTAGCACTCGGCCGCGTTCGCGAGCGCTCGCTCGCTCGTTGGCGCTCGCCCGCCTTGGGGAAACGATCGTTCCACCGTCGATTCAATGAAGAGGCGAACGCCTTTTTGCTCCCAGCGTCCTGCGCGCCGTCGTGGAAGGTATTTTCGGTGACTTTTACGGTCGCCCGGTTCCCCCGGATG